TGAGAATAACTGATACCATTAGATGGGAACTGAACTGATACACAGCTGCCACTGTTTGTTGCTGGTCTACCACAAGCTCTAACTCCTCCTGACTGGTACAGTCTAAACCCAGAAGGACAGTTCTGTGTGGCATCAGACATATCCAGATATGCTAGTCTTGTCCATCCTCCTCCTGAACCACACAATGTTCGATATTACAGTATGCAGTATAAGTAGATGATCTATTACCTAAGATATAATAACCTGATGGACTGGCAGGAAATAGCATTTTGATGTGCTCACATGATGTTGACAAACCAACTGATGAGTTATGTGTCAATAAAAGGTGTATAATGGACAAAAATATATCATCAACCACTCCAGCAGTAGAGGTACTGGTGCCTTGTAGATTAGAGAGAGTATTAACAATGTTAATGAGCTTTTGTGCAGAATCTCTTGTAGTTTGTAAGATTTGATGGTCGAGTTGTGTGAAATCGGAATTATTCTGAAATAGTTGAAGGGTATTTTGTGATACACCATTAGCCCATTCATTGAAGTCAGGAAGGCTCCCTGTTACATTGCTGTTAACTTTAGAGACAACACCATTAGCCCATTCATTGAAGTCTGGAAGGCTCCCTGTTACATTGCTTGTTACTTTAGAGACAACACCATTAGCCCATTCATTGAAGTCAGGAAGGCTCCCTGTTACATTGCTGTTAACTTTATTGACTATATCGTTAGCCCATTGAGTGAAGTTAGGATATTCATTGTTACCAGCAATAGCTCCAGTAGTAGCTGTGCTGGTACTGGTAGATATAGCATCTCTAGCAAACAACTGAACCAGTAATAGACAAAGTATTACCACCAGTAGTAATACTATAAGACACAGTAATAGAGCAATAACTACTAATGGTGCACTCCATGTTGACTGCTTTGATCCTTTATTCCATGATGCTGTAGCTTCTCTTGATTGATCATCATTCCTCCTTACATTAGTATTGAAATCAACCAGCTCATAAGGATTCTCTTGTACAGGAGCTGGTGTCTTACATTCTCCCTTTACTTCCATTGCTAAGAAGATATTGCATTCCACATAGCCACAAGAATGTAATCTGGGCCCTGACTAACAAGAATGTACTTCACTCCTACTGGCATGAGTATAGTAGCAAAAATTCTTATGACTACAGACATAATTAGTCTCACTAGCCACAACCTATAGTCATTTATATGACATCACAAATGATGTAGAATGCATAACAATTTTAGTAATTACTGTTACTCATGAGTGGTATAAATCACCTGAAGATGTTATGCACAATCATTATCATCCGTAGCACATATAAAATCATTTTAATGTAATTTCTACTTTTAGTGAATCAATTTAGTGTTATTAAACGAGAAGGTGCGGTATAAAAGGCGGGGCCCTGGGCATGGTGGCTTCCGTTTTATTCACGTGTAAAAATGTCGGCTCTAGATGGTGTTGCTTCTTCAAGGAAAAACGCAGGAAGAAAGGGGATTTGGTACCAAATGGACTTCCATTTTACTCTCAAAGAAGACAAGGACCAGTTCTAGTTAGGCTTGATCGAGTTAAGGGGTCTTTAGGCACTAAAAGAAGGCACTGGAACTGCTGTCTCATTTACTCGCCGATTTAGTTTAAAAAGAGAATCATTCTGAGGCTCTATCACATGATACTAGTAGTTCTTCTGCTATGCTCAATACTTCAGGTAGTTATAATGTGTTTAAATTAGTGATTATATAAGGTATGGGTGATGGGGACGAAGAGCAGCCATTTTGTGCATAGATATAGGATCGGCTGTTGGGAAACATACATTAGTGTTAGTGTGGTATGGTTGACCGAAGGATGATCAGTTACAGACAGGTATTCTTTGTTAGTATTGTTATTATTATTACTATTATTATCAACATCATCAAAACTATTCATAATTTTAGATGGTCATGTGATTTGTGCTGAATTTCGATTAAATCCCAGTTGTGAGTCCTGTAATCGTAACTCAAGTTTATTAGTTACTAGATACAGAAGTAAGTATTATTTGTAATGTAAAGTAATCATATCGTGGCATTAATATTTTTAGGCTCGTACTAGCATTTTTCTTGTACTGGTATATTACCATCACAGTACTGCCATATTTTTGTCGGCATCACTGGGCACAGTTGGGAAGAGGTACACAGATACAGGAGGCTCCTCACCATCCCAATATCTATTCAACCCTATATACATAATGTTTATATTTTTAAAAATTTAGAATAATATTTTTGTATTTACTTCTTTCAGTAGATTGTTGAATGTTACAACTGCTACCAGTACTAGGATCTGAATGAGGACCATGTTGGGGTCTTTTGCTGGAACCACTTATACTTGATGATGGTGGCTGATATATGGTAGTCGGCAGAGCTGTCTGGTCCCAGTGGTGGCGGTTCTTGGGCTGGTTTTCTGTGTAGTAGTGAGGGCTATTCCCTTGCCACTATCACTTATTACCTGGCTGACAGCATCATTGACCGTGTTTCTTAGGCTGTTGGCAGATTTTTCAGAATATACAATATAATATTTGATAATAATGTAAAATTATTACTTCAAGTCAATTATACCATTTCTCTCCTTGCTGTGCTTTCTAGGTGTGCTTGTAGGTTAACTCTCTCACCTTTGCTAATTTTAATGTTTTTATAATGCGTTTTGCTAGTGATTTAGCCATGATAAGAACAGTGCCAGTGCGGGAGCCATTTTGTTATTTTCAAATTTAATTCAATCTGGCCGCCATATTGTGCCCAGGGCACCTCCTTTTATACTGTGATCGACGGAAGCGATTTCATGACGTTGCGTGAATGGTTTTATAGTGCACCTTTTTGTTTAAAAACAAGGTAATGAAGGTAGGAAAAATTTTAAAATACAATTAAGAAAACAATATATATAATAGACTAAACTATTATCTATTACTGCTACTATTAAGAAACTGTCAGCAAATCTGGCTACTGTAGCCAACTACAAAACTAACGCTGTTTTCTACTTAATGTAAATCTCATAAAAGCTAAAAGGAACATCTTCATCTGCTGTTTCTTGATCTCCACAGACCCTCAACTCAATATAGTCAGTAGTGGTAGTGCTACCATAGTCTCTGTGAAACCATGGTAGTCCTGGAGCAGAGCAACAAAGTGCTTCACCAGAGGAACAGTTTTTGCCATCCCAAAGTACATCATTCCAATTTTGTCCTGCACCTTCACAAAAATAATGACTACCAACAAAGGATTGAGGAACTTGATTGCTGCCTTTAAAACAAGGACAATTGTGGTAACCTCCTCGAATTAACGTGTCAGCTCCAGTAGCCATTAGTGTCCAGACATGTTGACGAGGAGACCCACGAGTGATACTAATGCCATCAACATAAACAGAATTTATATTTCTATAGCGGATAACTGCATCTGGTGTCTCATATGAGTGTCCAAACACTTTACCACATATCTGAGAATAACTGATACCATTAGATGGGAACTGAATTGATACAAAGCTACCACTGTATGTTACTGGCCTACCACAAGCTCTAATTCCTCCTGACTGGTACAGTCTAAACCCAGAAGGACAGTTCTGTGTAGCATCAGACATATCCAGATATGCCAGTCTTGTCCATCCTCCTCCTGAACCACACAATGTTCCCATATTACAGTAAGCAGTATAAGTAGCAGTAGTATTTGCTAGTAGATACAAACCTGATGGACTGAGTGGTTGTCTTTCCTTAATCTCTTTACAAGAGGTAGGTAAAGCAGTTGAGTCATTGTGTAGTACTAATAGTTCTTGTGCTATTAGTAGTATATCATCAGCCACTCCAGCAGTAGATTTACTGGTGTCTTGTAGATTAGAGAGTGTATTGACAATGTTAATGAGCTTTTGTGCAGAATCTCTTGTAGTTTGTAAGATTTGTTTATCAAGTCCAGTGAAAT